ACAAATATATTGGGGGTACAAATAAGTTTCCGCCGTTTGCAAAAGATGGCGCCATTAATAAACTATAGTTAAAATTGTTTGATGTAAAACGACATATCGTAAGATTGGACATCCGGCAACACCATAACCTTGAAATATAGCGATTTTGAAATATTAGCGATTTATATATATATATATATAATTTTTGTATATATCTGCTTATTCTATAATTTATTCTGGCGTATTTTGACATAAAATATAAAATGTCTTATAAATTCTATTTTTTTCATCTATTAATTTTTTAATAACTCTTTAATACTTTTATTTGCAAAATAATTAGAAGTATCGTATTATGTAAAAAAATCATATATAACTCCATTTAAAAAAATGATAATGATTCAGGCAAAAAAATCGATATTTTTCATTGATTTTATTCGTTCCCTTCAGACAATACATTTTGTCTAAAATATTTTTGTCTGCCGGGCTCAATTTAAAAGTCCACCATTCTAATATGTAAGTAAGTACATATTTACGTGCATGTGCATGTACATACATACATCGTGGAAAAATATTCCGTAAAAAAAAAAGAATAAATTTATTTCCTATCGTGACAGATATGTATCGTCGATTTTCATTATATAAAGACAAAGATCCACTTTAAGCAATATTGTCATCATATACCTTCTTCTGTTCCTTTTGAATCTTCTCTTCGACCTCATTCAAATCTCTATCTATTTCAGTCTTCTATAAGTCAAACATAATAAAACAAAATCATAAAGAAAAACATAAAAAACATAACTAGATGAATAATAAATCATATCTTTTTCCATTTCTATCTTTTCTCTCATTCCCTCTCTTTTGCAATTTATTTTTAATAATTAATAATGTATTAAATAAACGTCAGTAAATACAATTAATTCTTATTTATGTATAAAATAAATTTTATTTATATATCAAATGACTAAGTATACTTCAGATTCACAAAATAATATATGAATAAAATATAGTGAAAAAATATAATGACTAAAAATATAGCAAAAAAATGGATTACGATAAATATAATCACTATTTATTTTTTATTATTATTGTATCTGATTTCTATGTATTATTCATATGTAACGAAAAGTATTCGTAAACTCAAAATACGGCATATATTTATTATTACGTTTATTAAATATCATTTAAAATATTAGTTTTATTTTACAAGGGCAATGTATAAACGACAACTATAGATATGTACCGCATATAGTTGTGCCTGAAAAGCAGTGCCGCGTACATTCAATAGCAAGCCGATATTATCGAATTTCCATTTACCTGGGCTTTTAAGTCGTTCAATCTCTTCTGTGCCTCACCCTTCTGATTTCCAAGTTGCTTCAATGTTGCCGCAAGCGTATCCAATTCACTTTGAAGACTTTTGATTTCTCCATTCTTTATCTTAATATCGGCTTCCTTTTGCGCAATATCCTGTTCCATACTTTGTCTTTCACGTACAAGTTCCGCTATGTCTTTACTTATCATATTCAACTCTGGATTCGAATAGCCTGATATATTATTGTTTTCCTGTAAAAGCATATTCAAAAATATTAATATCTGATCATTGTTATGATAGTTCCTATCATACAAAGAAACAGTATTTTTATTTCAGTTTAAAATTCATTTGTGTATTATATATATTGAAAAGGAAAGATAATACAAATTATATTTTACATCTAAAAAAAATTTTCATATCACATAATATTTTTAAGAATTTTTCATATTTTAAATTTGTGAAGATTTTAAAAAAATATCTTAAATTTTTGCAAATTTTATAGATTTTCTTTAGAAATTATAAAATAAATTATTAATAATAATCTTAGAATACATATACTTTAAAATTCACATATATATACGTATATATACAAAGAATAGAAAACGTAAATATTCTCAACGAAATGTTGAAAAATGTCTATTTCGTATAAAAATTTGAAAAATTTTCTAAAAATTATGAAACTATGCGGAATTCTAAATTTATAAATTTTGAAGAATTAATATGAAAAATTATTAGATTCATCAAAAATTATCATTTTTGCTAATTAAAAATCTTAATTAACAATACAATTCAAATTACAATTTTTATATAAAGAATAAAATGTTAATTATGCAATTCTAGTATAGATAAATCCATACAATATAATAAATTTTGGGGTACATTCCGTTTCACGTGATGATGCGCATCATTTATCTTTGTTGTTTACCGAATATTAAACAAGAATAAATGATTTTATGCACATCATGCATGAAACGGAATGCACCCTTAATATATCTTAATATATCTCAATAAATTTCTTAAACGTGCCAAGTTTAAAATGATTTATAAGATGTACGTATTAAAGACTGTGTGTGTGTGTGTGTGTGTGTGTGTGTGTGTGTGTGTGTGTGCGCGCGTGCTTGTGTGCGTGCGTGCGTGTGTGTGTGTGTGTGTGTGTGTGTGTGTGTGTGTGTGTGTGTGTGTTATATTTGCCAAGTTCAAAATGATTTATAAGATGTACGTATTAACGCTCTCTTAAGATGGATCGGAACCACATGGGGTGAAGAATGGATCAAAGAGAACAAAAAATTCTTATATTATTTTGAAATACTCGTTGTAGTTTTTGAATTAGAAAAGGAAACGTCTAAGCCAATATGCGACTCGCTGCGCGAATTCGTAGGATGGCCACACTCGAGCGGCGGCAGTGGCGGCGCGCAGAGAGAGGGAAGTAGCGCTTCCTTCGTTGCCTAACACAGCCTGGCATGATAGTCCCTATGTGTTTCGCCACATCGCGCTTACACTATCCAAAAATATTATTTTAGCTGAAGATTTTCTTATTATTATAAATCACGTTATTTAGCACAATTAAATACGTTTTAAATACGTTTAAAAAATTATAGATATGTTAAGCGATGTAATTAATTAGAACATTACACAAAACGTATGCTGATCGTCGCGATCAGCCTTTCCGCTTGCTTTATTATACGCCATTCTATTTTTATTCTAAAAATTTTTTTTTATCTCTTATAATTCCAGCGACGTTCGCTTCGAAAGACAAACACCGATTTTTCCAATTTTTTGATATTCGCTACAAAAAAGAAAAATCATTTTTTTCCAAGGAGTGTATCACCCTTTAAAAGTGCGTAAGGATACGTATAAAAAAATACGTGTTGCTTATTTTTGTTTGGAAAATAGCATACTGCTCATTAAAATCGGAGAAGAACAGTTGAGTCCCTTTCCTTGTAAGTTACAGATTTTTTTAATGTAATGAACATGGGCATTAAATTTGATGGATAGTTTAATAAAAATAAACTAAAACACTTAATTTTCAATTAGTATTTTTCAATACATATAAGTTTTTAGTTATTATAAACTTAAACATTTCATTAACGTATACATAAATAATCTTTTCAGTGACAGAAAATTTAAATTTTATTCATCAGTGAATATTAAAGCTTAATAAAATTTAATTACGTTTTTAATGGTATACAATTAAACTTGTTAAACGGCAAGAAACATGTGAAAAAAACCTCAGTCAAATGCGTCATTGTACATGGAATACATCTGGATTTACAATGTGGCGACTATCTACGCGAGCCTATAATTTCAGTGTACATGCATTAACATGTCAAAAAATAAAACTCCGACTAAATATAGCATAAAACGACGCGACGAAGTATATCTCGAAGCGTAATTAAATAGAAACATAGTATAATAAAGCAAGCAGAAAGGTATCGCGACGATCAGCATACGCTGTGCGTAATGCTCTAATTAATTACATCGCTTAACATATCTATAATTTTTTAAACGTATTTAAAACGTATTTAATCGTGCTAAATAACGCGATTTATAATAATAAGAAATGTATAAGGAAAACTTCAGCTAAAATAACATTTTTGGATAATGTAGGCGCGATGCGGCAAACACATAGAACCGCCATGCCAGGCTGTGCTAGGCAACGAAGCGCTACTTCCCTCTTCCTGCGCGCCGTCGCCGCCGCTCGAGTGGGCCGTCTTACGAATTTGAGTGGCGCGGCTTAATCGCATATTGGCTTAGACATTTCCTTTTCTAATTCGAAAACTATAGCGAATATTTCAAAATAGTATAAGAATTTTTTGTTCTCTCCATTCTCCACCCCCAATGTGGCTCGGACCCATCTTATGAGACACCGTGTATACAATATAAACATATAAAATTGCTGTCACAAAGTTGAGTTTTATTAATTCTTGTATATATTGCTCGCATTTTTTGTGTTTGATTCTTCAAGATTGTGCTATTTGACAAGGGCTATGATATTTAACTGTTCTATGTCTTAATTTTTAAATCTCATTTTCATTCGCGTAGAGTTTCATACGCAAGTGTTTCATAAACATTCTGTTGAATGCAGCTATTATATTAGCATATAAAAAAAAATGACAGGATATTATACTGGTATTTCATTTCATTATATTGCGATACTTCACGACGCTGTACATAATGCTAATGATGAAAATATGTATAATGCCAATTTTAATCTATTATTTCAACAATGTATCTTTAGGATTACTACAAGCAAATTTATTAACTAAACATAAGGAATTACTAAAAAAAATTAATAAAATGTTTAATGGCAAGCATGGTAGGTAAATGTTTTAATTACGTGTGAATAATTTAGATATACAGATGTAAATCTATCTATAATGCGCACACGCGTGTAATCATATATAAGTATTTGTTATTGTAATAACAAGGTGATGAAGTTCTTTTAAATGTCAATGAATATGAATATCCGAAAACTAACAAGACTTTAAGACAACTACACAAACAACAATGGCTAGATTATTACAAGTGTCTGAAAGAAATATACGCAGATATAAAGCAAGACAGAATTATTTATCCGAGTGCGCTCATAGCGCTCGAGGGAACATCCGTAACGTACGATTAAGAAAATTAGCATAAAAATTTGCCATGAACAATTACGATAAAACTTTAATAAATTGATTTATAGTTTAGAATGTCAAATCTGCATCTCGCCACTGGAAATGTATATGACTTCTCTAATAGAATGGTACTTTAACAGCAGCAGCAGCAGCAACAATAAAAGCAGTAAAGTTAAAGATGTGCTATATAATGGGAATCGCATTGTCAATTCACCAGATAACCGATACATCATGTACAATGTTAAGGTGTAAATTCAGGAAGTATGGCGTATATGATACACAACTGTAAAAGATAACTCAGAGAAATAATTTTTTTATACATAAGTTAATATTAAAAAATTAAATTTTTTTCAATATTAATGAGAAATGTACATAATTATAAAATCATTGAAAGGTCGAAACATGTAAGAATTTTAATTGATTATTAAAAGATTAATAAGATTAATAATATTCATTATGCAATATATTCTTTCATTGTTCTTAAAACTGGTAATTTAGACTCTTATATGCTCTTTATTATATTTCTTGTTTATAAATTAATAATAATTAATGATTCTTAGTTAGAGCAAGCTGGAGCTTATTGGTGTGAAATAGGACATACTATAGGATCAATTTATTATTTACATGTCGATAGTAATATGGAAACGGTTAATGTATATCCGGATAGAGCGCCTTATACATTGCAAGCAACATTGAAAAATGTGTCAGAATACAAGTTGAAAGTTTATACCACTTGGACAACGTGGAGTTCTTGTTCCACATGCGATACAGTTGGGATAAAGTTGCGATACGGTTATTGCACCGTTTCCCTTTTCGAAATGTCAGATAACAAATCTTTTATTAACAAACGTGCATCGATAATGAATAAATTACAACATATGAAACGAGATATAAAGAAAGGTAAATAAATAAAAACAAGATATTCTTTCTCATCAAGATTCTTACTAAATTTTAAGTTATTTGAAGAATGGAATCAAATGCAAAACGACACAATGCTAATAGAAGCGATAAATACAACTTTGAAAGTTCAATTAAAAACGGCATTAATGTTATTTAAGAACAAATTACCGTGCAAATCGAGATTTCTTCCAGAACAAGTGCGACTAATTCCCGTTATCAAAAATAAAAAAATTGAAATTGTGAGACAATATTGCAAGGTATGCGTATTAAACAATACTTAAAACTTCTTATAATCACATAAAGTAGGATATTAAAGGAAAAAATGAATCTTTTTTTCCTTCTATTATGTTGATTAATTTTTTATAAAATGTTATTCATTTTTATTTAAATTAACAAGATTATTTTCAATTAAATTATTATTACCTAATATTATATAAAAATAGTTCCTTTGCATATTAATGT